TTCTAAAGCCAGACTGAAAATCTTCAAATAAATCATTGTTTTTTAAGTAATCACACAGCTGTTTTGCGACCGCTTTCTCAAGAATTTTTGAGAGGAACGGAAGATTGGAAATAGGTCTATAATTGGCTAAAACCTCTGGATCGAGGTTGTGCTTTTTAAGAAGCGGTTTTATCACTGCTACTTTGAATGATTGTGGAACATAGCCTGATAATAAAGACATATTCATAATATTTAATAAATAAGTGCTAATTAATGGAAAAACTTCCTTCAACAGCTTAGTTGGAATTGGGTCTAACATACACGTTGATGGTTTAGAAGAGAGAATCATTGAATTTAATTGTTCAAGGTTTATGGCTGAAAAGCATTCTAGTTTACTATCTAGTGTAATATTAGAACTTACGTTTCCGGGAGCTGTTGATAACACTATACTGGTCAAAGGCAAGAGGTCATTAATTTTGTTTCTAAGAGTAACAATTTTATCATTAAAAAAGCACATAAAATCATTACTACTGAGTGCTATGGGAATAGAAGGCTCAATCGAGCTGTGGCTCTCTGTCAGCCTGGCTACAGTGCTGAAAAGAAATCTTGCATTATTCTTATTCTCATCTATTAATGAAGAGTAGTAGGCTGCTCTCGCTTTACGCAGTGCTTTCTTATATTCATTGAGAGTAATATGCCAAATTAAACGAGATTCTTCAAGTTTAGTGGAACGCCATATCCTTTCAAGTTGTCTCGACTTTTGCTTTATTTTGCGGGTTTGGGCATTATGCCATGGAGCTAATCTATGTTGTTTTATTTTCTTCTTTTTCAAAGGAGCAACAGAGTCTAATTTTATTCGCAGCGCATCTGTAGCACTATCAACAACATGATCAATTTGGGGTGGTGTAGATTTTGTATAAGTTTCCTCCCTTACATGCAGACATGCTATCGAGTTAAGTATTGGTGGAATCTCTTCCTTAAATGTGGCTATAGCACTAACAGATAGGTTTCTGCTGCAGGAGCTTTTGACTAATGCTTTGTAGTCTCGTAACAGTACTTCAAAAGTTACTAAGAAATGGTCGGATAAAGCAGGATTATGCGGTTCGACTAATAGTTGCTCAATTTCAATACCATAAGTCAGAACAAGGTCGAGAGTGTGATGGCTTGGTGTGTCCCCTTGGTGTCGAGGCAGACATGCCACATTCTTGAACCTTTCTTTGTGTCTTTCGGCCAGTCTATTGTCAATTCGAACTGCCAGTGCAATGACAGAATCCAAGTCTTCTGGGAGGTCCAAAGGTATTAGCTGGTCTTTAATGGAATCCGAAAGACCAGACAAAAAGGTGTCGAGCAGTGCTGAAGAATTCCAGCCACTATCTGCTGCAAGGGTCCTGAACTCAATGGCATAGTCCGATACTCTGCGCTGGCTCTGCTTAATCTGCATCAGTGCTCTGGCTGCCTCCCTTCCAGGAGCCGTGCGATTAAACACCTTGGTGAGAGTGTCTGTAAATACATCCAGAGAATTACAGGTAGGTGAATCTCTCGCCCATTCGGACGTAGCCCAGGCCGCTGCTCTCCCCGTTAAGTGGCTCACCATGAAGGCCACTTTAGAGTGATCAGTGGGGAATGCAGCAGGGTTATATTTATAATGGAGATCACAATGAACAATGAAAGGGCGACAGTCACCGGAATCTCCGGAGAATCGCTCTGGAGATGCCAGGCGAGGCGATGGAGCATGGAGTGACACATGATCAGCTGGAGCAATTGGTGTGTGAGCAACAGCAGGAGGCTGAGGGGATGAACCAGCTTCCAGGTGAACGAGGACACGGTGCAGCTGTTCGGCAAGGTGATTCACCTGAGTATTGACGGAGGCTTGAACATTTTCCTGACGGCCGGTCAGGTCCCTCACCCCCAGGTTGATGGCGCCCAGCTGCTCCTCATGCTGGTGTAGTCTCGTTCCTTGAGCTCGCAGAGCTATCTTCACTGTCTCTGAATCCGCTGGGTCCATATTTTGGTCAGTTCGTACTGTTATGAACCGAGACACAGGACGCAGGACCCAAAAGCAGGACTCGGAGACAGTTGTCCAAAAATAGAATGTTCTTTAATAACAAAAACTAAATCGTACTTTCAAAAAATAGAAAGTAGTTAAACTAGCAAAACTAACTTGTACAGCAACACAAAAACTCACTTGGCAAAAGGTCTAAATCTCAAGGTAGGTATCAGGAGTCAAAAGGCCTAGGTGCTCACGACATGAAACATAACGAACTGACAAAGGAACAAAAAAACACCAGGGCTATATATAGGTGAGGGGGATGGGCACAGGTGAAAACAATCAGGGCAGGGCCCAAGCAATCTCACGGGCGGGAAACACACAAAGCAGAAAATGTGGGATCTGGAATTACAGGAAAGATTACTTTCAAAATAAAAACAGGAAGTGACAAGATCAAAACACAAAACTATAGTAAAAACATAACTAAACCTAACATATCTGTCGAGTCACAACACTTCTTTCTTGTGCTAATTAGCCAAAACCAGTTTTATGGTTCCAGGGAAGAAGAATATGACAGTGTGATATTATAACATTGTTTTATGTATATTGTAATTCACTGGTTTAAGGTCTGCTACACTTTATACTTTTTTTTGGAAGTTACTAACATACTGGCTATTTGCCTTCACATAGAATGGAAGATTTCTTAAAACGAATTGATTCGATTGTAATATGTGTTTTATTTTAAAGCTTTTATTTACAATACGCATCTAATTCAGAATGCTTTTCCTACCAGTCCATCTATATTGTCATGCCTATATAGAAGAGTTAAGGGTTTCTAATCTTTGATGATTTGTCATGCTCTGAAACAATAAGCTCCATGGAATACCAAGAGATCATAGTTTTGTAAAAATACACAGAAGTCTAGTTGCTGGTATGATTTGCTGCTAATATTTGTTTCCCAACACAAGGTATTAGTTCAGTTTGTCCCATGCTCACATTATCACAGTTAGATGTCAAGTTATATGGGGGTGCTAGTGACTTATCCGACCGGCCCTGGGACAAACTCCCCTCTCTCCGGCAGAAACAGGAAATGCCATAACTCTATGTAACAACGGTGTAACAAACATCTTTAATTTTGTTTTTTTGGAAAGCTCTTTTAGTTTTAAACCTGATTTTTATAAGCTTCTTAGTTTTTGCAACAGTCTGTATACACAACTTTATAATAAAATGCACACATTGACCTTTTTCTAGACTAGTTAGTCTAGAAAAAGGTCAATGTGTGATGCTGAAAAAACCAGCTTAGACCAACAAGGCTGGTCTGGCTGGTCAGACAATATTAGGCTGGATTAGTTAGCTGGTTCGAGGGGTTTTGGACACTTTAGCTGGTCAGGATAGCTGGTTTGGTCACAGTGTTCTAGCTGGTCACCATTAGCTGGTCGGGATAGCTGGTTTAGCTGGTAAAAGCTGGTGGTCACAGTGGTCTAGTAGCTGGTCACCATTAGCTGGTCGGGATAGCTGGTTTAGCTGGTAAAAGCTGGTGGTCACAGTGGTCTAGCTGGTCACCATTAGCTGGTCAGGATAGCTGGTTTAGCTGGTAAAAGCTGGTGGTCACAGTGGTCTAGTAGCTGGTCACCATTAGCTGGTCGGGATAGCTGGTTTAGCTGGTAAAAGCTGGTGGTCACAGTGGTCTAGTAGCTGGTCACCATTAGCTGGTCGGGATAGCTGGTTTAGCTGGTAAAAGCTGGTGGTCACAGTGGTCTAGCTGGTCACCATTAGCTAGTCAGACTGGTATGATCTTGAGTAGAACTTTAACTGGGATTACTTGATGGTTAAGCTGGTCATATATGATGATGAAACACTCTCACCCAATTGCAGTAGCTCAATGAACATCTATCATTTCAGATCAGAGCACCTACCTTACCAGAAAGGTATACCAGAATGTAAAGAATGCAGTGACGTGCGGTGAGGTTCATGGCTGGTGAGGCACTGACTCTTTCAGAGTCAGATTTACAAATATTATATTTTGACCTTAATCGAAATATTCGGTTATTTTCAAAAGCTTTTTTAGTCTGATGCTTCGATTCATTTTAAACAGACCGTTCAACAAAAGGATACCCAAAATCTAAATATTGGATTGTTCTTTCTTAGTAAGATCCCATTTTCATTACAATTGTGGTCTTACCTTGACTTGAAGATGAAGTCCATGCTATCCTTCTGGACAACAATCTCTATTACTTTTTTGTGAAAGTCCTCCCTATCTTCCTCTAGTTTCAAAAGTCTAGTTTGTTGTTTGCGTCTACCGTCTCTGCGTAGAATAACAGTAGCAACAAGAACCTGTGGGCTCACGTGCGCCCCCTTCAGTGCGGCAGAGGTTATGGCTGCCTCCCCTGGTGCTTTTTTCATTGCCGTTGTATGATGAGACCAGCGAGCCTAAATATCATATATACGTGAAATAAGTTATTTAGAGACTATGGATGGCGAGGATAAATGTAATAAATGGATCTACAAACATTACATTGGTGACATACAGTGAGATGGTGCAGGCATGCGCTTAGGGCCCGCTTAGGGCCCGCTTTCCAGCCCGTTTCTGTGGGGTGACCATAGACTGGGGGTGACGCATTCTGAGGTGAGGCAGATCTCATCTGTGCCTCACCTCACCCCACAGTAACTGGCTTGAGCGCGCTCACAAAATAACTGTCCGCGTTAAATTAGTGCCCACGCTCCAGCCAGTTACTGTGGGTTTACGAGAGGCAGAGCTCGTCCCTGCCTCACTTCTCATCGCTACCCGTAGTTGTAGCGGAGCTCGGCAAATTTGCTGATTTTGACTATAAAAAGCGATTGGAATCATACATAAATCACATTTACAACACAGATCAGTGGAGAAATGTTATTATTATTACTATTTAGTTTTTCTTTAGTTGTTTTTCCGTTACATTGGAGTATGACAGGTGAGGCTCTGCCTCCCCTGCCTCCCCTGACTGCACATCGCTGATAGAATGTATTGTCTGTAAATAAATACTCATACATCAAATGATTAGAAGCAGGAACATCATTTATAACACACAACATGAACATTAATACAAATTGGAAAACATCTAACACCCATTCCTTCAGATTTTTACTTCGACTGTTTCTTCCCCTTTTTCACGAGGTCCTGTATCTTTTGCGAAATGAAGTAACCGGCCAACTTCTCCCTCTCGGTCTTCTCCACGTTTTGTTTGATCAGCCATCCTCTGAAGCACTCTTGAAAAGAGAAAGGAAACGTTTAGCTTTGTGTTATGATTACTTAAATATGTGCACTGTGAGATGAAAAAGAAAAATGTATCAAATTTAGTTTTGAACATTGCATCAGTCAAGCCAATGTTATGTTATTGCCTCTAGCTGTATGACAATTGCGGAGCCTCTAAAGGCCGGGTCATCTCGTGTGCACGATCAAGTCAACGGTTCGCCAAGTAGGAAGTGAAGCACACAGGACACAACCGTTTCATTGCAGACTATTATGTTTACGTGGGGAAATGGCAGTGCATAGGGGTGTAGACAGGGGCGGACTGGGACTACCGGCCCATTTCGGTACCACCGGCCCACATCAGTACCGGCCCATCGGGATTTGTCCTAAACGTCCCGATGGCCAGTCCGCCCCTGGGTGTAGACAGGGTTCGAGTTTTGTGGGAGCCATGGGAGCTGAGCTCCCATAAGGACATAGTGAAATCATAGATCTGTGGGGGTCGCAAATAAATTAGACCTACCAACAACCATTATTTTAATCACAAATAATGCATGTGTCAATGTAATGAGTATTATTTACGTTAACGAGGTAAATAGGCTAAAAGAAAAACATGTTTTCCAAAACAACTATGCATCTCTTGAATGACAATATGCCTGCACTGCACCTCCATGGTGCGCAATGCATTATTGCGCAATCTATGTCTGTGAGCGTGCTGCGCGTTAGTTTTAAAGACCCCCATAGAGCTCAGTTTATAACTTGTCTGTTAGTCCAATAACTTGCCAAAATGGTCACAAATGTATGCCATGCCTAAGAACTAACACACAAGTGTTGACATGCACACCAATTTGGGATCGAGCAGAACAAGAACCTATGGAAAAAAGGTGTACCTTCCCATCCTTTTTTTCCATATGCCTTGGGCAATGGATCGGCTGATCTGAAGTGGTGTTTTGCCCTGGTGGTGTCAGTGGTGGAATGGCTGGCTCACAGGTTCGAGAGGTCACAGATCCTTCTCCACAGAATGTTGATGGTAACAAAGAAGGGGTAGCAGAAAAGGTTCAAAAATAGTATTAATTAATATTACACTGGATACCTACAGTATGATTAACACAAGTAAAAAGTGTTGCAATGATAGCAGCATGTACCTCATCAATTGTGCTCAGAAGAGGGCGCATCCTGGAGCCAGCATCTCCTCCTTTGGCACGCATCAGCTGGAGCGACGTGGTGTTAGTGTACCCATCCAGTTTCAGCATCAAAGTCTCTTCCAGTGAAAGAGTTGTTATGTGTCGGAACTCCTTGATCTAATAAAAAGCATAGGGGACAACACTCACAACAGTGAGTTGAAATGGAAAAAAAATAAACGTAATGTTCTCACCTGAGCCTCATTGAATAACCCAGGCCATCTCTCCTTGAAGACACTGACACGTGGGCTGACAACCCAGTCTCATGGCATTTCGTGTTCACCAACACGATTTTTAATCTATTGATTCGTGTTCACCAACACGATTTTCCCCTTTTTTTTTCGTGTTGCACAGCACGATTTTAAAAGCAATGTATTTCTACTGGTAATGTGTTTCGTGCCTGCAGCACGTATTTTTCTCCGGTCGGGTCGTGGAAGACCGGAAGCTGTGTGGTTCATAAAAAACATGCTTGAATCGCAACGCGATTTTTACAGTGAGAACAGCTGTGAGGTCCGTGCAGAAAGCAGAGCAGTGTGTATGATATCACTCAGTACAGGGCCGAATTCACCATATACATTGGGGGGGGGACATCCCCCCCAATATTCAGATACGCTCAAAATGTGTTCCGCCTTTGTTTGTTTATGTATACCTTTATTTTGTACCCGGGGGGTGCATTTCGCTGTCGCACATCCGAGTCCAGCTTCAGTTAGCGTTGATGCTCCAAGCAGGTCAGTCATGTTTTAATTTGCCCTCCATCAGTTCTGGTATCTTTATCTAGTTAGCCCTAAACTATATTATTTTATTTCGTAATGGTAATGTTAATGAACCCTCCAGTTTAGCTTCTTTGTGTAAATAACTTAGTGCTGATGTTAAAACCGAACTTTTCAGGAATAGTAGCTAGGGGAGTGATTTGTAAAATATGCATAAAGAAAAAGTAAATCTGTTTACAGTTCTGTTTCATATGGATGTTGAGAGATGTATCCATAGATTTAGGGTGCATTCACACCTAATAGTCCGCTTCTCTGGTGCGCACCAGACGACAGTGGGTTACATTGTTTCATTTTTCAGAAGGTTCGGTTTGCGTTCACACAGGCAAAACTCAAACGGACTATAAACTTTAAACACAAGTCATGTGCACGGAAATGCTGTTCAACCATTGGTCAGAAATGAAGGGGGTAAAAAACGCAAATCCCGGCAATTTCTACTGGAGCCTCCGCCATGGAGCATCGGCACTTTCGGCAAGTTATTCTCATGCTGCTTTTAATCTGGAGATCAACAGACTCTAGCGGCCCGTGCATATGATTACATAATCAGACAACGTCCGTTAAAAAGCATTATAACACATATAATGATAGACGTTCTGCAGTCAGGAGGGGCGTTTCACCAACGACAGGTGTTCTTAATTTTATGTAGTTGACGGAGCATTTTTACTTTACACGACACTGTTCAACACTTCATTCACTTCACTCTTTAACCAAACAACCGCGGATGTCTTGTGACACGCAAATACTACGCTTCCTATGTTTTGGTGCGGACTGTGTTCACACCAGCAATGAACTGCTCCAGAGTTCGCAAGCAAGCGTTCCGAGACCACCTCTTTTAGCGGACCAGAGTCCGGTTGTTTAGTTCACTTAAGAGGTCTCGGACTGTGTTTACACCGACCCAAATGAACCGCAGCAAGCGGCTAAACGCACCAGGGTTAGATTCAACCGGACTATAAAAGGCTGGTGTGAATGCACAATGTCCCTAATTTTGCTCTCAAAGTGCACCAGATTGATGCTTTTAACTTCAACATTTAAAAAAAATCTGGATCCCCGGACCCCCCTATACCTCATTCACACCAAAGCAACTCCGGTTCAAGCTCCGTGCTAGCTACGTCGAAGCTTGAAAAGTTGAACTTTTCTCAACTTTTGAAGCGAGCAACGGAGGCAAAGCGACGCGAATGAACCACAATGCAGTTCGGCAAAGCCTGACATCACCCCATTCAAAGTGAATGGGAAGCGTCTCCGTTGAAGCAATGCACGCTGCCGTGTGGACAACGCTGTGCATGCAGTAGGCGTTGGACTGGAAGTACCGGAGACCATAAACGGTTTTGAAAACTTCTGTCACGTAGTGATCATCTTCTCAATAAACATCTTTGCTGAGGTTTTTTCAAGTCTTCTGGCCAATCAGAATCAAGATTGTTGCCGGAAGTTCCCACGGAGAATAACTTTGCGGTATAACTATTCTTTATATATCCATGGATACAACTTCAGATAAAAATGAACACATAATGAAATATGACCCCGGTTTGATGATTGACAGGTCACAGAACAATGGGAGGTATCTACCCTTACCCACAACAGACTATCTCCTCTTTGCTTTTCTCTCTGTGTGGAGCATCAAGTTCATCTGTGAGAACAAAATGAAAAACAAACAATGGCATAAAATATTATTAATATGTCGGGTAGTAATAGATTTATTTATTTTCTTCTCAGAGTGTACCAGAATGCGTAGTTTATGTTAGTATTTCTAAAAATCTCCGGGGGGATAATCCCCCCAGACCCCCTTCTGGGGTTGGGTTTTCAGCATGTGTGCCTTTTTATATTATACAGTTCAGCTTTGATTCCATCATCTCATTAAACCTTTTTTAAAACCATAATTTAGTTCTGTGAAGGGATATAAGGGATATATGCACTGTACTTCACTTTAATTAATAATGTATGCTGAAAAGCGTATATATTACAGTGGATGGACAGGACACTGAAACGGAGTTACTCACTCCAGTGTTGCAGTGTCCCTCCTCCATTAAAGGCATAAGAGAGGTGAAGCTATCTTCCCAGGAGGAGGTAGGTTTCCTCTCGGCAGAGATTCGGGCCTTGGTGCAAAAACAGGCGGCATCTGTTGTGCACCCTCGGCACAGAGAACAGGGTCTTTATTCCGCGTACTTCCTGGGTCCCAGGAAGACGGGAGAATTCAGACCCATTCTAGAGCTCCGCAGCCTGAATCAGCACATTGCCTGCAAAAAATTCCATATGTTAACTGTAAAACAGTTATTTGACCTAGTGCAGCCGGGCGATTGGTTCACAACCATCGACCTGAAGGACGGTTACTTTCATGTCAAAATTGCTCCAGAGCACAGAAAGTATTTGCGTTTTGCCTTCCAGGGGATAGCCTACGAGTACAACAGATTACCATTCGGCTACTCCCTATCCCCACGCACGTTCAGCAAATGTGTGGCTACAGCGCTTCAGCCGCTTCGCGACCATGGCATGAGGGTTTTCTTTTATCTGGATGACCTCATAGTCATCGCCAGGTCCAGGGAATGGGCAATCATTCATACAGCCCAATTGATCCTACACGCTACACCTAACCAAGTTGGGTTTTGCGGTCAATTGGAAGAAGAGCAATCCCATACCTCACCAACAGGTGCAGTATCTGGGGATGGTGCTCGATGCAGGCAGACTGCGACAGGGGGCAACGGTGACGGCTTTGACCATCGTGCAGACTCTGGGTCTCATGGCGGCTGCTCACGTTGTGGTGCCGCTGGGGTTGCTGCATATGCGCCGCCTGCAGAGGTGGTTTACCGGCCTTCGTTTATATCCCAAGAGGCACAAACGACGTCTGGTGACCATCCCCCCCAACCTCCAATACTGGGGGTCCCCGGAGAATCTCCGGAGGGGAACTCCACTGGGGCGAGTGACCTCCTACGTCATGGTCTTCACAGACGCATCCGTGACAGGATGGGGGGGGGACCTGCCTAGAGAGAACTATAGGTGGTTGCTGGTCTCTGACAGAGACGCGGGCACAGCAACTTTCAAGAGCTACAGGCAGTAGTGTTGGTCCTCCAGCATTTCAAACCCTTTATATAGGGCAAACATGTGCTGGTGAGGAGCGACAACCGCACCACAGTGGCGTACATCAACAGGCAGAGCGGAGTCCGCCGCCTTGTTGACCACAGCGGAGAAACTGTGGTTGTGGGCTTCAGAGATTGTGTTGTCTCTGAGAGCCCTCCACATCCCGGGATTGGAGAACAGGAGGGCCGACCTCATGTCAAGAGGCGGGCCCCTGCCAGGCGAGTGGGTGCTTCACCCGGAGGTGGTGAAGCAGATCTGGGCCCAGTTCGGGAGAGAGGAGGTGGACCTGTTTGCCAGCCGGCGCAACAGCCAATGTACCCTGTGGTTTTCCATGGCTGGGAACACGAGCCATGGCCAAGAAAGCTGCTCTACGCCTTTCCACCGCTGCGCCTCATTCTCCCCCTCCTGGAGAGGGTGAGACGAGAGCATCTGTCAGTCATCTTACTGGCCCCAGATCGCCGTGGAGCGCCGTGGTTCGCAGAGATGACACAGATGGTGGTGGGCCAGCCCTGGGCAATTCCTCAGTTCTGGGGGGCGATGTCTCAAGAAGCAGGTGCAATAGGGGCGTTACCCTCTCTGGGCCAACCTCTCCAGGCTTGGCTCCTGAGAGGGACAGGCTGAGACAGGGGGGATTGTCTGATCAAGTTATTCAGACTATCTAGGCAGCAAGAGCAGGATCCACCACGGCCTGTTACAGGCCAAAGTGGTTGGGATTCCAGCGATGGTGTGAGGAGCGGAGTCTAGAGCCTCTATCTTGTACGTTGGGCTCTATTCTGTCCTACTTACAATGCAAAACTGGAGTGAGTAACCCCGTTTCAGTGTCCTGTCCATCCACTTTGTTAATACACAGCTGAGTTTCCATTCCCCATAACACTGCGTTAGGGGACAAGCCATCAGCTGTGGAGCAATAGCAATTGCTATTTTAAATCAAAATTGCTCTGCACACTTGCTAAAGAACATTTGTGTGGAAATCTCAGTTCATTTGTAGGGCTGCGCGATTATGGCCAAAAAGTATGCTGTATATTTCACTCTAAACGATTGAATAATCAGCAAATTCTGTGTTATTATGACCGATCATAACTCAGCTTTATGCACACACACATACATTTAGCATGGTTTAGGAAACGGGCTCCGTGTTACAGAACGGGTCGGGTGGTTTCGCGGCTCCGCTGCAGACTCTCTGCACGGAGGAGCATGCTCGACAGTGGCTCCAGAGGCAGTGTTTGCCTCAAGAGGTGAAGAAGATGAGTGGGGAGAACATGAAGCCACAGGAGCAGCTCACACTGGAGCCCTATGAGAGAGACCACGCTGTGGTAGTCGGCATTTACAGGTAAGCCCAAATAAGACTTCTCTCACACAATTAATTGGATAACCTGTGTGTGGACACATGTCTTGTGTGTTGCTTCTTTTTTTACTTCCCATCCAATTTGACCC